CCAAACCATCTGGATGCCGTCCCTCGTGGCCACAATAAATACTGTGAGCCGGTTTTCCAGGCCCTGCATCGGCGGCGGCGGATGGTTTACAGACCGCGAACTGTGTCCGCCCGCCCGCCCGGACGCGCATCACATTGCCGATGTATCGGCGTCGTCGACGCGCTAACACCCGTTGCCTTGGCTACGCGCCATTAAGCCTGGGGGTGCGCGCGCCTGCCGCACGCCTGAGACGGCTACAGCAACGACGGTCGGCCGGCCGGCCTAGCGGTGACGATCAGGGTCGAGAGGCCGCCATTTATGCGGGCGATTTGTCCTCGAGCCTTGACGTAGGAAGGTATCTGTCCAACTGTTCCGTTCGAGGTCTCTGTACTACAGCAAATAAACGAAGGGGACAGGGGAGGGGGCAGAGGTAATGAAGATGAGGAGCGGGTGTCCGTTCAGGTGTCACGTCAAAGTTGCTTTTGAGCATCTGACATGTTTACGTACATGTGCGTGCTTTTGCTGTAGGGACTTCGGCGGTGAGAGTCTGACTTTTCCATCGCGTGAACCAAGAACGCTACCCAGGAACGTAGCCCCAGAGTAGCAATGCACATGTTTCAGAAGTGTTTTAGTAGACTTCAAATAATTCACTTCGACCCAACTGTGGAAAGCTCGGTGCCTCGGTGGGATTCGAACCCAGGACAGCAAGGGGAGGCTTTAGTGCAGCCAACGCTCTAACCATTTGAGCTACGAGGCCCCACCGAACGACGTGAGTTTAATCACATTTGGATCAAGTTTACCCGCCCAACCTACTGCAACTTCTGGAATCCACCAAAGCTGATACAGTAAGGAAATCCTGTTCGGGCAGTCAGCTTGTTTGAACATTGGGGTCAATACAGCACTGTCTTAGGACCCAAGGGTTTTGCAGAAATCATGAGTGTATCTAAAGTACGGGTGATTTGCAGATGTTCAAAAGGTCCCTGATATTCCGCTTGACCCCATATGCGGTTTGTCTTATTTCAGGAAGAAGGCATGCCATGAAAAATTTTACCAGGCTGCAGAATATCCCGGCGTGATTGAGCGAGGCCAATTTGCCCCACGTATGAAGGCGAAGAAAATTAGAATGTAGCACACTTTTAAAACACTCATGTCAATCAGAACGCAATAAAACTACACAAGATGAAATATAAGAAGTCAACAGATTAGTCAGCCGAGAGAGTGGAGGGGGGCGGGGATAGGGAAGTTTTAGAGACAAAGTTGCTCGCCCACATATAGCTGTCTGCGACTGTCCCGGGTCCGAGCTTCAAGGCTGTGAACGGACACCCGTTCCCTGCGTCCTCTAATCGGGTCAGACAGCTGAGCTCCCTCCCCCGCTCCCCGAGTATGTGAACTTCACCGTTCCGGGTATGACAGCAAACGGAGGTGGGGTTGGGCGGGTGCCTCGTTCGCTCGGCGGAGTGCCAAGCTCAGGAAGCAAAAAGGACTTGGGTTAAAAGCCGCTGCTTTCCTGGCCCGCTGTTGGGATACTGCAGGCAGACAATTGTTAATACTGCCGGAGCTGGCCACCCCGGCCTTCCTTGACTCTTCATCGGTAATAGCTATTGGAAAGAAATGCAACGATTGGAAGCGCAGTCTTTTAAACGAAGCGGATAAGTGGTTCAGTCTCATGAATATTAATTTTTTTACACGGAGAAGGTAGGGAGAGGTTCTTACCTCAGTTTCCATCTACTCCTCCACTTGCTCCTGCGGAGCAGGTGGGAAGCTCCACGAGAAAACGGAACGCCCGTGGTCTGTTCTGTGATCCAGTTCGAACAGGGAACGTCACTCTTATGTGAATCGCTACTAGGTAAAAATGCGTGGAATAAATTTTCAGATAGATTTCGGGGTAGGAGTATCTGGGGCGACTTAACTACTACCTTGCTAACAAACGTCAGGCAGTTTAGTTTAAAAATGTGGATGATGGTTATTGATAAAAGAATTGTTGTTTACATGTGGTTATGTAGTCCCACTTGAAGTAAATAAACCTCGGCCACCTGTAATACGGGACCGGTGGTAATGGGAGTTTTTACAGGCGGGGCTGGGAACGAACAGGCGACGGGGTCAGCTAATTGTATGTATGGTTGAGAAATAGTTGCCCAAACCCCTAACCTTAACATCTAACCTTAATCCTTAACCATAACCCCTAACCTTAACTCCTAACCCTAACCCCAACGCCAACAGTATTGTGTCCCGCAGGTGAGGCTGCATAACCCCATCTTACCGCCCTCCTTAATCCTAACTGGAATGATTGTTATGTGTCAGTAGGCTGAAATGTTGAAAATGAGGTCTAGCCTGTCACCGTTCTGCTTTATCCCGATTTTTCTCCCTTTATAGCTCGGTACCATAGTGATTAGCGTGTTAGTCACTGAATACTTGTGTGACCTCAAAATGAAGGCAATATCGCGTTGGGAGCAAGGAGAGCTTCCGATAGGCCAAGCATAGGAGTGCATTTCATTGTAAAAATCCTATAATCAAGTTGTGCGTAAGGCAGTCAATAGGCATAACTCAAGCAGGCGTTCTGCGAAAATTGTACCTTACCTTTTTCCAATTTAAATAACTTCGAGGGGCCCTAACTTACCACTGAGAAGTACATAGTAGGTAAACTGATCGTAACCGACAAGAAATCGAGCCCGCAGTTCAGTGGTAAAGTATTTAACTTGGAGTTGGACGACCAAAGAGTCAGCGTTAGAATGCCAGGCTGTTTCAAGATAGGGGTTCAACCCGGTTAGCTAACAACGGCTCCAGGAAATTCATCTGTCGTCTCAGACGATGTCTACCCTGTGCCCTGTGGACGCAGACACGGTGACTTGCCCGTGAATTAGTTTATAGTGCTAGTAGACTTGCGTTGCATCTACCGCACTCTCCCATCTCTCTCATCCAGCTGGGCTCGATGGCAAGACAGAGTCAAGAGTGCCGGGGGCGTATCGAGCTCAGGTAGCTGGTGTGACGTGAGCCTGATACAACAGTCACCATGTATGGCGCAGCCCAATAACGTGTACCAGACTCGGATCCAACCCACGTGTCGGTCAGAGGCAAATCCCCCGTGGCCCATTGCAGCGGAGAAGCAAGAACAGCATCAACGGCAAACGTAGGGAGACCCACTGATGAACCAAAGTCCTCGCAGCTGTTTCATGCAGCGGTAGAATGCAGGCACAGATGAGGACGGCAGGTATGCTATGAATGATCTGCCGGTTTCTTTGTCATCATTTCCGGCAAACGTGTGTTTAAAACTGTGGCATTGTGAAGAAGGATGTCCAGCTCGGCATTACTGCCTCCACTGAATGAATACCAATTCGTCCTACTAAATGCCCTGATCCCCTTTCATCCATGCAGCCCGCGACAGAGAGCCCACAAGAACATCGAAAATCGGAGAAGATGGGGATAGGTTGTTACCTCAGACGACCTCCGTGTGCCTCTAATCCTCCACCGGCTCCTGTGGAGCAGATTATATTGGTTGCACGAGTCAGTATCTATCCAAGAGAATAAGAGAACACCTCCCCGCATGGCTGGGAAAAGGTGAAACTGGGAGCATAAAAAGGGCCGTGCTTGTACATGTTGGTGATCCCGGGCATTGTGTGGACCCCAGCGAATCCTTTCATATTATTTATGAGGTTCCCTCGAGCTGCCATTAGCTGTTGGACAGACGTCTGTTAGTAACACCAGAAGTGACTGCAATCAGATTACGAAAGCGGTCTTGTGTGCGCAGAAGAAATCCGTTCAGACTCTGAGCTTTCTGCGGTCAGCAGTCGAACAGCTACATGCAACTCCTAGCGCCCTTCCGCCCTCACCCCGGCTCTGACATTGATTCTTATAACCTCCGGTCCATCCATGCAGCCCACGACTGAGGGTTCACAAGAACACCGTAACTGGTGGATATGACTGCTGCATCGCCACTATTACACTGTTCAGAGTTGGCCACGAAGGTGAAGCCAATCAACGAACAAACACACAACGTCTTACCAACTGTGCTGCGCAAATACATCACTCGGTGGCTGACAACCAACTCGGACTGATGACTGCCTTGCATAAATCTCTGCCTCACATCTGACTCCTATCTTTGTAGGGCTTCGTTGTTTAAGATGGACGGCGATGTCCCCCTTCCCCGTGAGCCAACTGTTCTCGTCTCGTCCCTCAAGATTCCACTGTCTGTCACTAAACCTGAAACTACATTCTTTATACTTTATTTCGAAAAGTGTCCAAGTCTTCCAAGTTGTCTGTGTGAAGCCCAACGCACACGAGGTTTCCAAAGCCTGCGAGCTGGACTTGGGAATTCGAAAGTCGTGAAGTGGTTTATTTTTCGGCAGATACGCGAGCGACTTGCCTAGAGTGAGTTTTCCATCATTACTCCGTAACACGTTTATGGGAAGTTCGGGTATTCGAAAGTCGTGAACTGGTCTATTTTTCAGAAGATACGTAGGAATTTCATGGAAACATATGCAGTAAACGAGCTCAGGAAACAATGTTTACTCTATAAATAGTTGTTTTCGCATGACAAGTACACTCGGCAACACCGGGAGGCTGTCCCCCACGCAATTTCGAAGCTAGCAGTCAGGCTAACGCACGATCCTTACGATTTTGGTAAATGTACTGCACGCCTGCAATTTTGGCAAAAAAAACTGACTTTAGTGGGCAGATGTTGGGACGGTCGAATGGTTACGACACAATTGGTAAAACGCCTGTTCTGGCCAGGTGTATACGAATGAGTCCGTTTGGGTCTGGGAAGGCCTTACTGCGCATTCTGACAGGGCATGAATCGACGAAGCTGCACTGGCGGAGACGAGGATGTGGAAGTGGTCAGCTCGGATGTATTTTCTGTCAAGATTGAGAGTGGTGACCTATCATTGCTGACAGGGCGTCGAATTTGACATCAGTTCAGTCGTCTGAAGATGGAGCGGAATTCAGCGAGTCTGGGTGTAGCGTGGGATGGTGTCTGGTGGAGCGGCTGCATTTAGCGTATCCTTTCCACGATCATCCCCCCACACCCGACCTTGGTCGCTGATGGCGGAAAGCAAGGCAGACAGGATCTTTGTAGTCTTCCTGTCGTTGCCGATGTCTACACACCCCCCTTGAGGTAGTCGAGTCCCCCTGACCTTGTCATCGCCGCCTGTGAGGGCGAATCAGTGGATAATAATGCGCGCAACGTAGCCGATTTAATGTCGATGTACAGTAATTAGGTTGGTGGCTAGACGACGTTCTATCTTCTCAGACAGCAAGCAGACATGCATCATGTTACACCTCGAGCGTGTAAGGGCCGCTGACGCGAGGATAGTTACTTTGCTGGACTGACAGTTGCATCAACTGTACAGGTGCGCGAGATGGTCATTCGTCCTGACGCGCAGCTTTCATCTGTGGCTCAACTCATCTGTAATGAGAGCGGCAGGCACAGTCCAGTAATCGCTTCGACTGGCGAGTGTTACCGCCTGGGAAATTCAGTACACTTATTGACTTTGTCCCTGATGATAGCTTCGAGTGAGATTCCGAACCTTCAGGCTGATAATGCTCTTGTTCTAGAGAAGAACTAGACTGCATGTCTCTTAAACGTCGGCGAGTTTGTGTGCGTGTGAATCCTGGTTTGCTTATTTGGTGGGAGCCTACCGTACAGCGTCATGACGCAGTCCTATTTACAAGTGCATGGGGGGAGGTAGGGGGTTGAGTGAGGCCGGTCCTGCGCATGTCGCTGCCCCACTGTAAGCAAATTCACCTCCCCTGCGGGGTGATAGTGGTGATGGCCAGCGTTGTGTCCAGTGCACTAACACCACGCTGTCTGACCTGATGATTAAGCGGCTTCCCTCGCTCCGAGGTCAAAGCTGTCCTCAAGAGGTTTCAGATGGCAGTGGCGCGCGCGCTAACAATTTCTGCCAGCAGCACTGACATGATGGTGGGGCGTCTGAGCGGCATGCTTGATGGTCCAGTCTGGTCTACCGCTGACTAACGAGAACAACGAGAGCACTAGGTAACAACGTTAGTCGCCCTTGCCTACGAGACTGTTTTCGCCTCAATACCTCCTGTGGTGAAGTAGTGGTCAGGTGTGGGCTTGCGCAGTAGTGTCGGCGTGAGAAAACTGCGAAGTGATTCTTTGTGCGTTGGTTGAACGGAATTTTTTGATGAATGCGTGACCGCCAATGGGAGCTCGAACATAAAACGAGATACTTGATGGGGGAGGAGAGGAAGAAAAGCGGGGGAATGCAACGGATGATGATGATGATGATGATGATGATGATGATGATGATGATGATGATGATGATGATGATGATGATGATGATGATGATGATGATGATGATGATGATGATGATGATGATGATGATGATGATGATGATGATGATGATGATGATGATGATGATGATGATGATGGCGCCTTCCTCCTTTCCTCCTTTTCCTTTTATTCTTCTCCCTCTGCTACTTTTGTCGAGTGATCGAAATTATAGGGGAGCTTGTGGTCTACAGAGGAGTCACGAAATGAAGGGTGTAACGTAATCACGACAGAAACGGTTCAAATTGTTATTATTGCAGCTGTTATCATCACTGTTATTATTTGGAAATCGCATATCAGAACTGTGTTAGCATGGGAACAAACTGCATAATAACCTTCTGCCTATGCCCCCTTGTTGAATTAACCCAAGAAAGCACCCAGATGACAGCGATGGTTTAAAATGAATAGTTATTCTGACAAGGTAAGATGCACGAAAATATGGGAGCAGGCGACACCACCCTGCTGAATAGAATGGTCATTCTTGGCTTATTAACAGTCATCAACTAGCCATACCCAGTCCCAGGTTTTTTGCACCTGTTGGTTGAAACAAATGCGGTTGGGTCTGGCTGGCTGATTACATAATACAGTAGGTGGACTAACTCACGAAATGTCAACCAAGATATTCCGAAATGCGTTTTCGTCTCGCAAAGGTTTATTAAGTAGCGTTGTAAAACTGGTCAGCCTGCAACATAATTCTATAATATTTCAGTTACCTCAGGATGCCGGCTTTTGAATGAAGTTCCTTCTGGCTGCATGAAAAAACTACACGCTGTAAAAAAATGACTACTTAAGTAGCACGAATGTCTTCTCATTGATTTTCGATGCTCCTAAAAGCCCAATTATATTTCATGAAAAACATGCATGAAAATACTCATTATTTTGCTCATTCGGTAGACAATTACGTCTTCTTCTAGTTTTATACTCGAAAGAGAGAGATAATTCGGTTTTTAAAACTTTTCCGATTCCCCAATAATGTTGAACCCGCTCTACCGTTACACTTGCATTCAGAGTTTCCAAACTACAAGCCATATATTTTCCGCGTACGGAACACCACACATTTCTCTACGGTAATAAAGGGGGACCATTTAGGGTTCATAGAACTAAGCAGTGGATTTGATCCATATTGTTAACTTTACAAGCCCCATTGGTAAATGCAGAGATATGATGATTTATGAACGGCCATTTCATGGTATTTAAAAGTCTCACAATTAGAAACTTTTTAAAAACCGAATTATTTCCCTCCTTGGAGTATAAAACTAGAAGAAGACGTAATTGTCTACCGAATGAGCAAAATAATGAGTATTTTCATGCATGTTTTTCATGAAATATAATTGGGCTTTTAGGAGCATCGAAAATCAATGAGAAAACATTCGTGCTACTTAAGTAGTCATTTTTTACAGCGTGTAGTTTTTGCATGCAGCCGGAAGGAACTTCATTCAAAAGCCGACATCCTGAGGTAACTGAAATATTATGGAATTATGTTGCAGGCTGACTACTTTTACAAGCCCACTTAATTAAACTTTTCGAAACGAAAGCGCATTTCAGAATTTTGGTTGACATTTCATTAGTTATCCCACCTAATGTACTAGTCGCTCAGCGGCTGCTGGCGGGGCTAGAGACGGAGTCCCAAGGCACAACAGGACGAATGCCCCCCCCCCCTAGCACGATCGGTGAGCGCCCCCTAACACACGTAAATATTCACTGTTCTAAGAAACATTTTGGTGTTTTAAATTCCAAACTTTCACCCAAGTTAAACTGCTGGAGTTCATTCCCCACCACTCTTCCATCAGCGTAGCACGGAAATCGCTTTACCAAATCATACCCGTGTTGTCTAGATTCGGTGCCCGCGCCTTCTGCACGGCGTCTGGTTCACTTCATTGCAGTGCAGTGATCTCCTAAACTTTCTCGAATCTTGACTGGCCGGTTTTCTTGGTACCGCACAGTTGAAAAAACTCCTTTACCACACTTCAGAGTAGGATGCGATCTTTTTGCTCAGGTAATGAGCGTCGCTGACTCAAGGTGTGCGTGACGCTAGGTAGGGGGTTTTGGCTAGTTGCTGTTTTAGACGGCGTTCCAGCAGTGTTTTATTATCCGACATAAAGTGTCTTGTAACTCTCTCTCAGTGAAGACTTACAGGAACCAAAGGCGTGAATGCCAGAACGACAAGTTGGGTGGGCTTGTGGGAGGTTTTATGGCTTACCCACATTTTAATGACTATAAGACAGACACAACAAGAGCTATAGTAAGTCCTAGTGCGTAGTTTGTCACAGAGACTATGCGACCAGCTGGGAACCAGCGTTGAGTACCTTTGGGTTGACAGACCGTAAGGTGGGTTCGGTGATCAGTT